TATGAATAGTTGCTAATGCATCAAAGTAGGAGATGGTGCATGAAACATACAGAGAGATCAATTTCACAGGCACAATCAAACCCTTGCATACCATACAGAAAACTACGGTATGCATAAGTGAAAACATGCAACTGCAGACTAATTGCAGAAAGAGATAACATGGAAGTGTTCATTTCCTTGCTCAACCAAAACCAATTCATTTGTAAACTGCTATCTGTTGATGCTTTTCCTGCCAATCAATGGCTCCTGATTGATCCTCTCCGTTCTCTTGTGGAACCTCTGATGGTTGAGGGTGTCCCCAAGGCTGTTGTCCAGCCATTTGAGGTTGTTCCCAAGGCTGTTGTCCTGCCCTTAGAGGGTTTCCTGACTGATGTTGTTGTGGCATTGGTGACTCATGCCCTGCAATTGGATCAGGTCCAAGGGGCTCCTGCCAATGGTAGTGAGAGGGCCTAAAATGCTGCTCTCCAGGGTAGTGAGAAGGGCTAAAATGTTGCTGTCCAGGGTAGTGAGAGGGATTAAAATGCTGCTGCCTGGACATAGGGCCAAAAGAAGTTTGTGCTGCCGTTTGAGTGGAACCCCATGGCTGCTGTCCTGCAGTTTGTGTTGCCATCTCTGTGGAAGCCAATGACTGCTGTCCTGCAGTTTTTGCTCCTATCTGTGTGGAACCCCACGTCTGTTGTCCAGCCAACTGAGAGGGCATGGATGGCTGCCGTCCAGTCATCTGAACAGGTCCAGAGGGCTGGTGTCCTCCCACTCGAGGGGTGTGGGAAGATCCCACGTACTGCTGTCTTGCCACCTGAGGAGGACCTGATGCATGCTGTGCAGCCATCTGATTTTGTGGAGATTCTACAGGTGACTGCCGTAGCTGTCCCCATGGTCGAGCTCTAGGTGGTCCAGCTGGCCGAGGGGATGCCCACCTGGTTTCATTCAAAACTCTCTCAATTTCTTCACTTCGTCCAACTTTTCCAAAAGCATCCCGCACAAACTCCTGCAATACTGGAGTAACCCCGACAGCATACCTCATCATCTGATCCAATATATCACGGCTCCTATCAAATTCACCAGCACAGCAGAGCCCCCTGACCACCACATTATAAATCAAGGCATCAGGTTTAGGATCTTTCTCCCCCATTTTTGTCAAAAGCCAAGCTGACTCCGCATTTTTTCCATTCTTGAGAAGCTCCCCAAACACTCTACTTCCAAAACTTGCAACCACCCGCAAACCAGATTCCACCATCTTGGTAAACGTCTGCAAAGCATCATCAATTCTCTCTGCCTTGAGATATGCATCAACCATTGTCCTATAGGTTGGCACATCAGGTGACAAAGACTTTGAACACAATTCTACAAACAACTTCTCTGCCTCAGATAACATCCCCAGCTCACAAAACCTGGTAATTATGTTATTATACCCTGCAACATCCATTGCAAAAGGCTTGGATCCTGCCTTTGTACCTGCCTTCTTAAAGGTCTGAATTGCCTCCTCGAACTTGCCCAACTTGAAACACTCATTTACCATAATATTAAACGTGTCAGAATTCACTGCCTGAATATTGGGTGGCGTATGATTATCCAACATTTCCTCAAACAAAGTCCAAGCCTCAGTCTTCTTCCCGTGCTTGAGCAAAACCTCCAGAAGGGTATTACCAGTTGCAGGGATTATCCTAAATTTTCTATCCAACCATGACTTGTAAGACTCCATGGCCTCCTTATCCTTCCCCTGATTAAACCACCACTCCATAAACGTTGCATTGACAGCTCCATCATAAACCAGGCATCGCTCTTTCAACTCATCAAATAGCTCATTGGCCTTCTGCAAATCCCCCAGGCTCAAGAAACCAGAAATTAAGTTGTTGAAAACCAAAGAATCAGCACCATGACCTTTATTCAACATCTCCCTCAACAAATCCACGGCCTCCCCGATCCTCCCCGCGTCTATCAAGCCCTTGGTCAAGTGCCTGTACGTCACGGGGGATGGACTAAAGGGCGCATTGGCCAAAATATGGCGGTAAACCTCAAGAGCTGTATCAACTTCACCCCTATCACAATGAGTGTTAATCAAATTATTGTAAGACACAATATTTGGCACGATATCAGACTGATTGAAGAAGAAGTGAAACAGAGCGATTGCCTCATCAAAACGCTTGTTCCTGTACATGGCGGCGATGATGGCGTTGCAGGTGAAGACGGTGGGACGGGTGTTGGAGAAAACAGAGGAACGGGCAAGGAGGGAGGCGGCATCAAGGTCGGAAGCGCGGATAAGGGACTGCACGCGATTGTGGAGATTAAGGCGGGGGCCAACGAGCTGACTAGTGGAGTCCGGAAGCCGCGGGGCGTTGGGGTCCCGATGGGGAGGGGAGTGATTGACGGAGGGACGGAGGGCATGAAGTGGAGGCTCTATGCGGAGACGACGCTTGCGACGACGGCGCTCAGCTGCGGCTTCCTCTGCGGAGGTGAAGGCAAATGAGCGGCAAAGGTGTGGGTTCTGAACAGGGTTTTGGGTTAAACGAAGGAAATGAGAGAGGGGTTGGGTAGAGGTAGAAGGGCGGCGAACGGAGCGGAGAAGGAGGCGGTAAAGGGACATGTTGGACGGAGAGAGACTGAAAAGTTGGGAGTATCGACTGCAAAACCCTAGTAAGAGTCGGAAAATAGAAAGAAGATGAATTCAATATCTTTTATTTTATTTTATTTATATTAACGCAATACAATTGCATTAAAAATATATTTATTTTAGTCGGATCCTTTCTCCAACATTCGGACCGGGAAACCCGAGTAACCGACCCACATGGATAACCCGTTTCCTTCCCTCAAAAACCCTCCATCAATGAGCTAAAACCCATCAATGCCTTATTAGTTTAAATAAAAAAAATTTTGTTTTTTTTAAAATAATATTTTGAATCCTAGTGAAATAGACATGAGAAAAGTTTTTTTTTTTTACGCGTAATTTGATTTTAAATTAATTAAAATATAATATAATTATTAGATATTAAAAGATTAATAAAAAAAATAATCCACTTAAGCTTTGCTCAATTTTGAATAGGAATTAGCATGAGCTGAGAAATTTTGTGAAAAAAATTTTGTTTTTTTGGTTGGTCTCTTTGGTTTAGAGATGACATTTACATGACATTCGCATCCACAGAGCATTGGGGTGAATGTTGAGTAAATTGAAGTTGTGCTTTTGTCTATATATATACACTTTGTGAGTTTGTGTTGCCCAAAACTACAGCCTCAAGGCTCACAACTATCACCATCGCTATTAATGCCTGTGCTGGGCCCTTTTTAGTTGACCATCCATCTCGCTGCTATTTTCTGTTTTTTCTTTTCCGTGGGTCTGGAGACCAGATATCTTTTAGGACTGGTTTTTGCAGTTTAATTATTGAATTTATTAAAATATTAATAATAAATATATATATAAAGAATAATTTTATTA